ATTCAAATGTAGACGTTTCCGAATTTAAGTCCTACTTCGAAGATTTATTTAACCCTATCCAAAATGCTGATGATATACTATACTCTGCTTTTTATATAGAGGTTATAGATAAGCCAATTACCTAGGATGATTTAAAAATGTTGCTAAGTAACACAAAACCAAATAAAGCACCTGTAACTGATGGGATATCGTACGAATTCTTTAAGAACAGTTGAGATAAATTCCTAGGGGAGTTGGCTAGTACATTTGCAACTATTTACAATACAGGCGAGTTAGGTAAAGCTTTCGAAACCAGCATAATTAGACCGATTTTCAAAAAAGGTAATAGGGATGTCGTATCAAATTATAGGGGTATCAGTTTTATGAATTGCGTGTCGAAAATACTTACTTACTTGACATCATGACGGAATATCAAGCTGGTCTTAGGAAAAAGTACTCAACAGTGGACAATATATACAACCTGTCCGCTATCGTTAATTTAAAGTTCTGGGAGAAGAAAAATGTTTATGCTTTTTTCGTGGATTTCAGAGCGGCTTTTGATAAAGTACCTAGGAGACTCCTCTTTTATAATTTACATTTACTGGGATTATCTACCAAGTGTGTAAACTTTTTGCAAAAAGTATACTCAACAACGAAATGTGTGATAATGGCGAATGACGAGTTTTCTGATGAGTTTTCCACCTTGTCGGGGGAGAAGCAAGGATGCCTAATGTCACCTTTATTATTCGCACTCTATTTGAATGACATTCATGTACATTTAGATATAGGATTGTTTATTGATGATATGAATATTAGGGATTTATTATATGCAGACTTTACAACAAATGATTGGAAAACTTGAAACCTACTGTGAGAATCGGAATTTGGAAGTAATTTTGGACAAATCAGTGATAATGATCTTTAGACAAGGAGGGAGACTATCAAGTAATGAAAAGTGGACATTTAGAGGGACAGAGATAAGAATAACAAACGCATACTGTTACTGAGGAGTAGTTTTGACTCCCAAAATGAGTTTCCATAAACATTTAAGTAAATAAGATAATGCGGCAAAAGTTAGTATCAATAGCATCTGGGCTAGTTTCTTTGGCAAACAGGACATACAATAAAGCTCGAAGTGGACAATGTTCCAAGCAGTATGCCGTGCAACACAGAGCTATGCCGCCCAAATCTGGGGGAACACCCTACTTGAAGAGGTCCACAAATTGCAATTGTATTTTATCATGAAAATTTTTCGACATCCGGAATGCTCACCCACATCTGCTATTATGTTGGAAACAGGTATTGAAAGTGCTCATTTATATATATAGTGAAACCCACTTAAGTACCTCCCCGCTTAAGTACCTAACCCACTTAAGTAACCAACATTTTTGGGCAATGTGAATTTTTGAATGTAATCTGAAGAAAATTCCTCGCTTAAGTACCTCCCGCTTATTTAGCCAACCCGCCTAAGTACCTCAATTTTTCTTACCCCATTTACCATTTTACCTATAATTTTCGTCTTTTAAGTGCTCTTTTAAAATTCCTTAAAATATTTACATATTTTGAATCTCAGTGGCAGCGTTACATACCTTCGGCAAAAAAATTATAAAAAATCAACNTTAAGTACCTCCCCGCTTAAGTACCTAACCCACTTAAGTAACCAACATTTTTGGGCAATGTGAATTTTTGAATGTAATCTGAAGAAAATTCCTCTCTTAAGTACCTCCCCGCTTATTTACCCAACCCGCCTAATTACCTCAATTTTTCTTACCCCATTTACCATTTACCTATAATTTTCCTCTTTTAAGTGCTCTTTTAAAATTCCTTAAAATATTTACATATTTTGAATCTCAGTGGCAGCGTTACATACCTTCGGCATAAAAATTATAAAAAATCAACGGCAATTTTTAGCCACTTGAAACTTGCACATTATTACTCTAAACATGAATGGGCTATAAAACTGTATACTTTAAAAACACAGCTGAGAAAAAAACTTTAAAATTTCATGAATCTTTTTCTTTAAGTGTTCTATAAAATCTTAAGCTTAGGTTTATATGGTATTTGTTAGGGAATGAACTGTATTTTAATTGAAAAATCTTAAATAAATACGTTTACTTCATTAAATGTTTATGTTTTATTCAAGGATTTCCATATTTATGTAAGTTAACAAAAATATGTAACTACACCAATAATTATGTTCGCTTAAGCACCCGCATCGAGGTACTTAACGAGAGAGAAAGATCACTTCCTCGGAAGATGCCCTTTCCTAAACTCATATCGCGCTATCTATTATAAAAAAAAATAATCACTTACTCTCTTAGGAATAAAAGAAGCGTTAGACGGGATTAATGACGTCAATTGGAATACACTAACTTCCTACATTACTGATTTTCTAAAATATAGAAATTTAATTATAAATGAATATGTATAAAATTTATATTTATAAGTGTGTATATGTATGTATTAGGGATGTGATTTTGACGTCCCGGAAATCCCGGGATTTGCTTGTATTAATCCCGGGATCCCGAAAATTTTGAAATATGGAATTAATAGTAAGAATTTGTTTATGATTTTGAAGTATGATCTTTGTAAAATGCCGTTTTGACTGCAATTAACAAGAAGCTTGAAACTGTACTTTTAAATTGCAGTCTGAGCCTTTTTTGAAGAAGATTTCAATGAATTTACTCATAATGTATACGAAACAGAGAGTTTTAAGGTAAAGTTAGATATTTTTTTAGATCAATCTACTCACAACTTCAAATATTTTGTAATGGAGCAGATAGGGGCCATTATCTTCAAATGGATTATGTCTACCTTTTCCCAGTTCAGGTCAGTTCGTTGCAGGTCAAGCTTAGAAGACTTCGCTTTGAATGCTTTGCTGCTCTTACGAAAACATTTTAAGTGCAATAATAACAACACCGGCAAAAAAAGGGGTGGGTGTTTTTAACCAGACCCATCTACCAACATGTATTTCGACCCGCTGAATCCGATTCTGAGATCCGTTTGACTCGTACACCCTCGAAATTTGTAGTAAATTGCGAAAAAAATGGCNGCTATTCTATTAGTTCTACCGAAATTGTTCCTAAATTTGCAAAAATTCGCAAACTATAGCTACTATTAAAAAAAGATTAGAATATTTGGAACTAGCGATCTAAATGCACGCCAGCAATATTAATGCGGTTCATCACATCTTTTGACTATAGGCCAATGCAATTATCAAGAGAACAATTAAAATTTCCTTGAAAATAGTTAAGTTTCAGATTAACGATAAGCTAAAGTGCTGCGAGAAATGATATTTGACTTTATCTTTTGCGTTAACGGATTCATTATCTAATAATATGCACCAACCCTTTTTACTGAACCCAGAATTTTTAACAAGAATTGGTCTTATTCGACTAGTGTGCTGTGGGTCTCTTGGCGGTCGATGCGCGGGCTCTCACAATTAAAATAAAATACTAATATTTTGCAGGCTTGTTCTTGACTTCATGATACAATATTTTTTCACTATTACCAAGGGATTTGAGAAAATTTTGATTTTCGACCCGCCCTATTACACAGTGATTACGTAAAGTACTCAGTTTTGCGGCATAAGAAATGTTATAATTCATATTTATGTAAAATTTAGATGAATTTAATTAACAATCCTAAATCATTTCCGTCCGTTCTGTTTTCCGTCCGCTATGTCTAGCGACAGCCAACTCATTGTCAACATGCTTGCCAAGTTTTTTAGGTCCAATTATTCTGTAGACTTCCCAATAAGTGGAGACTATCCGTACGAGCTTTGTCCAATCAACTCTGCTTATATTCCAGTAATATCTTCCGATGAAGCTTTGCAGTATTTAAAAACAGATCATATTCCGACCTGTTTTTTTTTTTTAAACTGCGCTGAGAACATCTGCGAGCCTTTAAGAACTCTATTCAATTTGTCACTAAAACATGAGGTTTTTCCGTCAGCCTGGAAGGAGTCTTTCATAATACCACTTCACGAAAACGGCAGCAGGACCTCTATAGAAAACTATCGAGGCATAGCGAAGCTCTCCGCTATCCCCAAATTATTCGAAGCAATTATTGTAACTCAGCTGACATATTCTACATCTTCTTTAATTTCACAATCTCAACACGGGTTTTCTAAAGGAAAATCTACCATAACTAATGTAATCGAGTTTACAACTCATGTCTCAAACGGTTTTAGATAAAATTCACAAATCGACGTAATATACACCGATTTCAGTAAGGCTTTTGACAAAGTATGTCACTCGTTACTCATCCGTAAACTCGACCTAATCGGCTTTCAGCCCAGTCTTCTTCAATAGATTACTTCTTACCTTTCTGATAGAACACAAAGAGTTATTGTTAATAATTATTCTTCCAACATCATTAAAGTTTCACAGGAGTTCCTCAGGGAAGCCACCTTGGTCCGATTCTGATCCGATTCATTAATGATGTTTCTTCTATAATAAAACTCAAAAATTTTTATGTATGCCGATGATGTGAAACTTTTTAAAACATTGTCCTCTATAGAAGAAAGGTCTTTGTTACAAGCGGATCTGAGCAACGTCGTTAGGTGGTGTAATGCAAACTATATAACTTAAAAAAATGTAAAGATATGTGTTTCTCTTGGAGGGCTGTTCAACCAGTTGTTTATTCAATATCAAATTATAATCTGGAGCAGGTATCCATTTTTGTCTATCTTGGTATCACAATGGATTCCAAACTAAATTTCAACCTTCATATAAATGTTACAATCAATAAAGCCAAAGGCGTTTTTGCATTTGTAAAGCGATGGTCAAAAGAGTTCAAAGCCCCTATTGTTACAAAAGCTCTTTTTACCACTTTAGTATAACTTTACGTTCAAATTGGCCCCATTTAAACTGTTAAATGAAAAAGAGCTTTTTGTAAAACACAATCGATCACATTGAACATTTGGAGTAACCAGTTTGTTGCTACGGTGGTGTACCTTTAAGACCAACTGGTTTTGCCAAGCAAGGCGTAACCGGTCGGTTGTTATGATGGTGTGCCTGGGGACGACTGGTTCAGCCACGGCCACGCCGCTCGAATTAAATACACGAGAATATTGTTTTCTTTGGTGGGAGTAAGTGGGACATTCGCTGGACTCTGGTTCGGCAGAGCTCACCTCAGCCTTCGACAAAAACCACCTCATGAATGGCACCCGAGCAGGGACCCAGCTCTGCAGGCGCATGTGCAAAAAATTCAACAAGCACCAACACTGCGGAACCGGGTTCACCGAACACACCACGACCAACAAATGATACACGCGCCAGCGAGAGTAACACCGATACGCTGAACGTCGACTCAACTGGATATATCTGCTTAAGAAGGAGAGGAGGAGGAGCTAATAGAAAAGTGCAAGCGGCACCGAATTTTCGTAGAGGGATACACAGTCGCCGACCTGCGCAACGTGCATATGTAAAGACGTAGCACAACCGCAAATCAACAGAGGATCTACTGAGAGACCTAGAAGAGGAGATAAAAGCAGAAGAGGAAAGGCACGTAAAGCTGTCACTCAGCACCATTCCCACCATCCGGATCGGCAACGGCAGTCCAAAGCCAAGAGAAATGAAGCATATAGCATCAAAGCGTAAAGAGACCAGCGACGCCGAGCTGATGAACACTGTCCGTTGCTGGGACGTCCACTTTTCGGGAGGTGACGCGCTACCGAATCCCACTGGAAAACCTTCTCCCAACACTACCTGATGTGTTACGTGGGAAGGCCCTCCAATTGCTCCGCGTCCGAAAACTACAAATCAACTCGTGGGCAGGCAGCACACAGCAGAGGTACAGTAGAGAGGAATCCTGCTGGCGTGTAAAGGGCGTGGACACCGCCGCTTCGATGCCGAGGAACAAAAATGCTGATCTGCTCCAGGTGCGGCCGAGACAAAATCATCTCCAGAGACTGTCCATGCACCACCATCACCGCTACACCGCTCGTCAAAATACGCGGCACAGGAACAGCACCGATTTCCGCCACTCCCTCGGAAACTAACGCACAAGTGGGAGGAAAAGTAGAAGGCCGCAACTACGTCAAGGTGGTTATAGGAGGTATAAGCGTGCGCTTACCTGTGTCGACGAAAACATACGTCAACACCTGGATCATAAGAAGACTCGGAATCGGCCTAGCCACCGTACGGTGCTACTAGCCGATCAAACGTGCCTCTCCAGCCTGTACACGAACCCAGTAAAAATAATGTATAACGGGCGAGCGACAACCACACTTGCTTCGGTACTCCCAAATATCGCGGAACGCATGTTTCTAGGGATGAAGTTCTTCTGGGACGGAGGAGTCATCCTCACGCTGAATGGACAACCAGTGCCCGCAGCTACTGAAGTCGACGAGACTACTGTCAGCTTAGCGGATCGAACCCTCGAAGAGCGCGTACAGCTCGCCAATCGTCCTAGTCCATAAGAAGCAGGGAAGCTGGAGGATGGAGAAAAAAGTAGCTTTGTGCAGCAGAAGCTCTACAACATCGGCAACATCGTTACCTCCGAGGGCATAAACACTGATCCTGCGCAAATATCCGCGGTGCGAGAGATACCAGCACCACAGAACATTCGAAAGCTTCGCCGAATCCTCAGCCTCTTGTCATGGTACCGCCGCTTTGTCGCCGATTTCTCCACGCTTGCAGCACCGCTCAACCGACTACTAAATAAAGGCCAGTCTTGGCTATGGGACGCACTATAAGAAAGTGCATTCCTTGTATTGAAGCGCGCACCAGTGCTCTTCTTCCCCGATTTCAACCGCCCGTCCTTCCTCCAACCCGATGCTAGTGGAGCAGGGGTCGTCCGGTTTCAACGCCACTTCGATCAGGAGAGTCGTAGCGTATGCCAGCCGAAGTCTAAACGACCTGGAGAAGCGTTACCCAGCCACCGAGCAAGAGTGCCTCACCATGCCATGGGGGATACGCAAGAAGAGACCGTACCTGGAAGGATTACAATTGTTTGATTTTATGAAAAATAAAAATATATATACATGTATTTCAAGTCCTTAGGATGGGTTAAATTATATCTTTTTTCTTTAAAATGTTTGGTTTTCTTACTAATTATGAGATGGATACGTAAAAAAAGAAAATTGGATACATTTGGATACATTTTTGGCTAGGTCGGTGATACATTTTCTTGAGACGGCGCGGCAACACTGGCGACGACCAGCGAGAAAAACCACAAACAAACATCGCAGACGCCGCGACCGCCGGCCCACAACGAGGCGAATACACCATAGAAGACGAAACGCTACGATACAATAACACACCTTACCATACATACATACAATACTGCACATACATACATACAATACTGCACATACAAACAGTACCGACATACAGTACTGTACGCACATACTCCACCGTACAAATATGGGCAAATCTAAAAAAACAGGTAACCTTTGTGTTACTTAGCTTTATTTTCATTGTTGTAACATGCGACATACACAGAGCGTCTGACTCGTGAGTAGGTTTGGATGTATTTGTGAAAAAAATATGTGTTAGTTACACCGACATGGCTCCTGGAATGACTCTCAATGATTCAATTGTATGTAGTCGAAGGCGAGTCAAGGCATACACAAATGACTCGCGACCCGCCTTTAAACTATATCATATATATCATATATATATACTATACTGGTTGCTTTTGGATATAATCCATAGACGTATACTTGAAGCCTCAAACAAATTTCGAGTCAATTTGTTGCATAACTTTTGAGTTAATTTGAAATTGTATGCGCAATTATTAATGTACACTTCATACGTAGTAGGTAACTAAAGTGTGCTTTAAAAAATAACTAAATGGCAACTAACTCAAAGTGTGTAACCCTACTTTTCACAATTTACAAAATATTCGGCTTATCGCGTATAATTTTTGAAGCATTTTATTTGAAAATCTTTTTAAGTATGTATTCTATTCCACAAACAATTATAATAATCTAATACCTTAGCAAGAGGTGTGCTTTCAGAACTAACCAATATTTTAAAGATAAAATATTCTGCGATCGTGAGCGTAATTTCTATTCCAAAGACATCTTAATTGAAGGCACAACTGGAAAATACGTCAAAACAATCTAAATATTTTTGTAACTACTAGTCCTTGTAACATTACATATACCTGTAAAATGCTTCAAAAAAAATTTACTAGAAGCGTGAGGAACACCTGATTTACTATTTTTATTGAGGATCCTTCTTTTAGTGAGAATATTTCGAGCAAGGTATCAAATCAACTTTCCTAAGCAAAGGTTGTTATAGTTACTCCTACTTAATTGAAGCTTTCTGAACTCTACGGCATCCCTAGTTTTGCCGTTTTTAATATTACCTTAACTATTCCATAAAATCATCGAAATCGATTCACTATAACATGTAGCTCCCATGGTGTTATTCCAAGAAACGTTGGCACAACCAAGCAAAAAAATATAATTTTCCCAACATTTATAAAAAACGTACAACAAAGTCGCAGTGAAATGTTGTGCGATTAAAAGCCCACGTACAAAAATCTATCTGCGATAGGATATATAAGGTATAGACGTACGGTTATGCATATATTTTAAAATTTATAGGTCGATAACGGATAGCAACGCAACCGCGGTTCGGTTACCAGCTGGCAACGCAACTGAAAAGAAAATTTGTATTCCAATAGCAGCTATCGTCAGTTGCTGCAGAGTTATCGATAATCGAAATTAACAGTACGCAACCAGCAAGTTGGTTGTGAACAAGCTGTGCTAGTAAAATTAAATTATTATAATAAAGAGTTTTACAGCATGAGCGCGGCCTCAATCAGGCGACATTTAAGTGACAATTACAATCCTCTAGAGTTGCTGCCTGCACTCTAAGAAAAAGTCAATGCTTTGAAGATTTTACATTTATTATCTGTTTGTGTTTAGATTCAAAGCCTATTCCAAACTTCCAAAAGAAGCTGTAGCATGATGGTTAATTCACAGAGGAACGACTTAAAACTTGCGAAGCTCTTTGATTTTTCGCAAAAGGAAATCCTACGGCAATGACTTCAATTTGGAAATTTGGTATGTCGGTAGTTTTGAAAGGTGCTTCAGTTGAAAAAATGTTCTATTAGTGTTCGCATTGGAAACACCAAAAGCGCGTACTCCACGGGAACTTAAATTTCAAGTTAGTGTTTTGTTGTTATTTTCACAATATTCCGTAAATGTAAACTACATTACAAAATATTAGTATCGTTCAAACAATTAAAAACTAAAATATTTGACATACAGTAAAACCCGCTTAAGTACCTCACGAAAAATGTCAGCTTTTTGAGGTACTTAGTCGGGTTGGGTACTTAAAAGAACCCGCTTAAATACCTCGATGCGGGTACTTAAGCGAACATAATTATTAATGTAGTTAGTACATATTTTTGATAACTTACATAGATATGTAAATCCTTGAATAAATCATGAAAATTTAATGAAGTAGTAGTGTAATTTAAAACCAAGACCGTAGTATTATTGAAGATTTTTCAATTAAAATACACTTCGTTCCCTAACAAATATCATATAAACCTAAGCTTAAAATTTTATAGAACATTTAAAGAAAAAAAATCACCAAAATTTAAAATGTTTTTTTTCCGAGGTGTTTTTTGAGTACACAGTTTTATAGCCCATTCAATTTTAGTGCAATAATGTTCAAGTTTCCAGTGGCTAAAAATTACCGTTGATTTTTTATAATTTTTTTGCCAAAGGTGTGTAACGCTGCCACTGACTTTCAAAATAAATAAATATTTTAAGGAATTTTAAAAGAGCACTTAACAGGAGAAAATTGTAGGTAAAATGGTAAATGTGGTACGAAAAAAATATTTAGGTACTTAGGCGGGTTGGGTAAATAAGCGGGGAGGTACTTAAGAGAGGGATTTTCTTCAGATTACATTTAAAAGTTCACATTGCCCAAAAATGTTGGTTACTTAAGGGGTTTAGGTACTTAAGGGGGGGGGGGGGGGGGTTCACTAAAGCGGATTTCACTGTACTTTTAAATTTTCGCTTCTAAATACTTTCCAAAGACATTTAGGGTTACGATAACTACAGAAAAAACATCGATATTTTCGATGTCGCTATATGAGATTAAAGAAATCGATCGAAAACTTGGACGCGAAATATCGATATTTTTAAAGAAATCTAGAAAATACTAAATATAAGGTGCATTTCACAACGGTCAAAACGCAAATTATCTCTCACATGAAGAACTACTGTGACGCAAAAAACCATTTCTTATGCAAGTGTATAAATGTCAAGTGTTTGTTTACAGAATTATCTATTCAGACAGGCGTCCAAATTCATCGTAGAGTTCCATAAGTAAAGTAACTCTTACCGTTTTTCTGGCAGGTTCTAGGTGTGTGTTTGGCAGGCTGTAGGGGTGGTTCTGGTTAGTGTATTGGTGTCTTTGGTTCAGTGTGTTTTGAATAAATTGTAATAGAAATGAAATAAATTGTAAAAGATAAGAGCACATGCCAAATACTGGTGATCTCAGCTGTAGGTATTTTTTGGCAATCAGCTGATAGTGTTTTTACTTATGAATGTGTACGATGCTCAAATTCCTACACACGAAATTTATTTTTGAAATTATGTCGTTATTTTGTGCGATTGGCTTCTGTTTTGCTTAACATGTTTGCTATAATTTGCCCAAGCTCTTTCCCTTGTTGTTTACGAATAAAACACTGTTCTCCATTAAAAAATTTTCATGAATTCCCAGAAGAAAGACTTCGAAATAGTAATAATATTAATAGTCCCAACGGTTTAACCCTCCTTTCCCGTCCAACCGCACAAGGGGCGCAGTCCGCATGACGAACGGAACCATTATTTCAGTTTTTGCGCTGAGTCACGAAAGGCAGGAGTTTGTTAAGTGTCGAGATCTAAAACTGTTCAGCTACAGAACTAAATTCATCTGCTGATTTTATGTCTTTATGTTAGTAATTCATTTATTGAGAGAGGATGTTATCGCTTTCTTAATGCTGAAAAGCAGATCTGATATATCAAATGTGCTGGAATAAGAGATAAAATCCTGGCATAAACAACGGAGTGGCTCACGAAAGTGCTCTTAGTTACAGGAAAATTGCCTGCTGGAACGCTTTTTGGACTAAATCCTGCAAACCTTCAAATCTTACTGCTACTGAAACGTAACTCTTAAATGCATCATAGTGTAACTTTTAAATAAATTTGACATGATCTCATACTTTTCATCCACTCCTTCTTGGCACTTTGCACAAAGAAACCAGCACCGGCGACTGTTGAAAAAGAGCTTATTTTCTACTACATTGTAGTTAGAAATAGCATCTGTAATATATTGTACTTTACACCTCACCAAATACATGACATAGTGGCAAAAACATCGTCCACGTGGAGTAACCACTATGTAAATTTCAGACCATAAATTCAATTAGTCCCTATTTGTGTAAAGGTTATACAGTTTAAATATTTGATTTGAAAATTAGCTCTTAAAAATAATCCTTGCACTTTAATTGCTCATCTGTAATTTTATAATGTTAAAAATTAATTCCCAAAATTTCGATGTTAAGAACATCGACAAAAATAACAAGATATGCATCGATATTTAAGCGTTGAAAACATCAACATTGATGTTTTTTGCCGACACATGGATGTTTTAGATACGTTGATGTATCGTTAGCACCCCTAAAAGCTTTCCAGTAACCACAAAAATGTAGTTGCCTGATAAACACTTTGTAGCAACTGCGTTGCCAGTTGAGAGTTGCCAGTTGCCATCTACAACTAGCAAAGCAACTGAAATCCGATTGCTATCGATAATCGGCCCATTAGTTCCTTCCCCTTTGAATAAATTTACATGATTTACTACCTTCTAGTGCACCACACACCAAGCATTTGAAACGGGCGAAGTCAAAGCATTTAAGCCAAGTACAGCAATTTGGCCACTTCAATCGAATAAGCTAAAATTTAAGAACTTAGAGTTTTGAGCTCAATATTAAGACATTAAAAACAATACCAAAGCAATATTGAACCGTCGCCGTAACTTTCGCTTAACAACGTTAGATTCTGCAGTCTTCCGCATAACCTCCAACGAAGCGAATCTTTTTCGAAGTAAATCATTATACAAATATAGTACTCGCTGCTTCTCTCGTTTGCGATAAAAGTAACTGCAAATCAATCGCCTTAATCGGATAAAAAATGAGATTTTGTATATAAGCACAAAAATAATTGCATAAACCCCAGCAAGCTTAAGATAGAATCTGTAAAAGGTTAAACAATATATATTAGAATAGCATTCCAAAAAAAACTCTAAATAACTACAAACCGTGTTGATAGAGTATATGGTTTAGGTAAACAAGCTTCATTGGTGAGATACGTCGATGTCTTTTCGTGCATATTAAAATTGTGTAGAGTTCTACGCAACAACCTTGTCATCAAACCTTTTCCTTGAACCTGTTCACGAGAGAGAAGGAAACACATATTAAAAGAAGCGAGTATTTGGTATAAAAATTATTTTAATACTGAATAAGCATTATGTTTGTTCCACTCGAGCCCGCGGGTCCCGTGGGTGCCCAAAACAGCCCAGAAAGCGTTCCGTACGCTAGAAAAATGTGTAATAGAGAGCGAATATCTTCGACTTTTGGAAAGTAAATGGCTTCTTCTTCGTGCCGAAACAGCCTGGACAGAAAAGTGCAATAAGTCAATTTGAAATTTTGTAAAATACAAAATTGGAAAATAGCACTGAGTTTCAGAAATGTAGGTATATGATAATTTTATTAGCCATATACGATAAATACGCATAAAGTCTTTGTTTAGACCTGATTAGTTGATTCCGGGCACGAAATGTGGTTTCTTTGCGTTCCTCACGCTCTGGGCATTTTCGGTACGTATTTTTGACACTTGTGAGAGAGTAACTTATTTTTAACACTCTAATTTATAGTCCGACCGATTCCAATTTTTTTTCAGGTACCGATGCCGATGCCGATGCCGATTAATCGGCATATGGGGAAAGAATCGGCAGATGCCGATTCCATAAAAAATTACAAATAAACGTATTAATTCTTCTCAACACATTTGAGACGTGTTACTGTTCGGACGTGTTTTCTAATCGCCTCGCTTAGTGCGCTAATTTACAAATATTCCAAGTATCTTTTATTTATTGGTGCTGGTATGGTGCTTTATTGAGACAGTGACTCCTAATTTAGTGATTTATTCACAATAAAATTGTTCGATAAAATTCTGTAATTAATATGCCTTGCTTGTGCGGTCAAAAGGTTGATCGCGCCCAACCAAAGGTGCTGTGTGCGGGATGCAAGGAGTTTTTTCATTTAGACTGTGTTGGTGTTTTGCCGGCTGATCTTGATTTTCTTCTTTCGGCTGACAACCCGTTCTTTTGCAAACTTTGCCTGGATGAGCGCCGTAAATCGAATCGCTTGCCTACACTATCCGCAGCCTCGGCTGAGAAAGTTGTTAACTTAGTCTCGTCTGACTCTCAAAACAGCAATACAATCGGAAGTTCAAACGAACTCAATAACAAGCAGCAAATTACCTTGCTTGCAGTTTTTAAAGAAATTGCCGCCCTTAGAAGTGAGAATGCCTGTCTATTATCTTTGGTGAATGCATTGCGCGATGATAAGAAGCAGCTAATGCAAAAGTTCGAGGCCCTGCATGCTTAAACTCTGTCACTGCAGACTAAACTCAATAATAGATATGCTAGCATATCGTTACTTACATCGGAAATAAAATGTCTTCGTATTGCTTGTTCTTTGCTTGCAGTTGCGTATTCTTCCTCACCTGCTGTTTCGTTTCCGGTCGCCGCTGCTGCGAACACTGAAGCTGCTACCACTGACGCTGCGGACAAGACGACGTCATTTAGTTCTTCTTCTGCTCCCACGTCGTTCAGTGGAGCTGCCGTATCTGCCGGTGCTGCTCTCAATAATGCAGTAGCTACGAAAACAACATCTTTTACCAATCCCGCTGAGTGCACATCAGTCTCGTTGCCTTTACGGGATGCTAACACTTAAACAACTAGTGTGATGACAACGCCAAGCTCTACTGCTCTGCCTGGGCTTTCTCTGCCTGCTTTGTCTCTGCATTCTGAGACTACTCATACTATGTCTTATGCAAATGCTGTCGCGCTTTCGCCTGTTTCGCCACCTATGCAGTCTGTTCCGAATGTGCAAGTTACAAATAAAAACCCCAACTGGAAAAGTGATCCCAACAATTGTCGCCGTAAGCTAAAGCAACCTTTAATTATTGGGTCTAATAGCAATAAGGAATTAAGTGTGGTTTCGAAAATGACGTGGTTGCATATTTCTTCCTTCGCGAACAGTGTGACCACTGATGACATCTTGGAATACGTCTCTAAACACGCCGCTATCGATAAAAAGTTGCTGGTATGTTTTATGCTTATAAAGAAAGATACTAACGTGCGCGATCTTGCAAGAGTTAACTTTAAGCTGGGAGTTTCCGAATGGTGTTATAATAAGCTGCTGAATGTGAATATTTGGCCAGCCAATGTCAAAATTCGATCTTTCCAGTTTTTTCCCAGGGTCGGTGCGCCTCAGCAAGAGTCTTAAATGCTTCCTCATATTATGGGAATCACTCCAAACATATTAATATTTATTTTCAAAATGCTTCCGGCATAAAGACAAAGTCTAACCTTCTCTTTGATCTAAGTGCTCAATTGGAATATGAAGTCTTTGTAATTATCGAGACCTGGCTTAATGTGGACTTCTGCGACAGCGAATTCTTCGATCCTAACAGCTACAATGTGTATCGAAAAGACCGCGATATGTCGAAAACAGGACTTTCCAGAGGAGGGGGAGTTCTCATCGCTGTCCACCGTTAAATAGTTAAAAAGAGTTGTTACAAAATTCCGTGGTATACCGAAGAGTTGAAAAAAATTAAGAATTTGAGAAACAAATTTTTCAAAAAATTCAAGCTAACCAATTCCGTATTTCATAGGGAAGAATACCGTTATTCGAGTGAGTTCAAAGCCCTTAGTAAAACTCTACAAAGAAGGTTTGTTCTTAAATTTGAAGCCGACTTAAAATCGAATCCCAAGGCCTTCTGGCGTTATGTTAATTCCAAGAAATTGTGCTCTAGCATTCCGTCGGAGGTTTTCCATAATAAAAAAAGCGTACTCCTCTTCGGAGGCGGCTAACCTTTTCGCTGACTTCTTTAGCTCTAACTTTGAACCTGACTCGGTTCTAGTTAATGACCTTATGTCGGAGGATAGTATCGAATCTCACTTAATTTTGGTGCACTCACCTTAACGCTCGATGATGCTATTGATGGCATTTTGCATATTAAATCCTCTTCCCAGACTGACGCAAACGGATTATCCTCTTACCTCTTAAAGAATTGTTCCGCATTTGCCTACCCGCTCTTATTAATTTTCAATAAGTCACTGGAGTGTGGTGTTTTAATTGATGCCTGGAAGGTCACTTCTATAACTCCTATTTTCAAAAGCGGTAATAAGAATAACGTTGCCAACTATCGGCCAATCTCCAAATTGACAACGGTTTCGAAATTGTTTGAAGCCATTGTTAAGCAAAAGTTGTATTTTGCGACTAAGCGATTAATTTCAACTAACCAGCATGGCTGGTAGGTCTACCGTGACAAACCTTGCGGTTTTCTCTGAACTTTGTTTGTCCGCTTTTAATAATCATAATCAGGTTGATGCAGTTTATACAGACTTTTCCAAGGCATTCGACAAAGTAAGACATTCAATTTTAGTATCCAAACTAGCAAGTTTAGGTTTTCACTCCGTTTTTCTGTCTTGGATAAAATCATACCTGTCGTCGCGCAAATGTGCAGTGGTGGTGGATAATGCTTCTTCTCGTCCTTTCATTGCATCTTCTGGCATTCCCCAGCGAAGCATATTAGGTCCCCTTCTATTCGTCATTATTATTAATGACATCTCCAACTGCTTTAAACACTCGAACTTTCTCTTATATGCTGACGACTTGAAAGTGTTCACAACTGTTTCAAGTAGTTTAGATTCTGATAAGCTCCAATCGGATCTTATTAATGTTGCTTCCTAGGGTCGTAAAAACCAATTACATATAAATATTAAAAAGTGCTTTCACTAAATAACGTTCCCTTATCCCTATGTCATATTACATTGGTAGTTCCCGGCTAAGCACAGTGAGTGAAATTGCCGATCTCGGTGTGATTTTTGATTCTAAATTCCTGTTTCAGGGCCACTTAAACTGCACTATAGCAAAGTCATATTCCATGCTTGCTTTCATTCGCCGATTTAGTTCAGGTTTTAGTGATCCTTACACCTTGAAACTGCTGTTTACCGCACTTGTGCGCTCCAAGTTGGAATACGCTGTCTTCATCTGGAGACCATATCGAGCCATTACCTCCAAAATAATGTATCCCACACCATAATCGATTTTTGTTTTGTTATCGAAATCGATAGTTCAACATCATTTGCATCATCTGTCAAAATTTCATGGCTGTAGATTAAACCGTTATGATTTTATCGTCTAACTTGCAAGTTTCTGCAAATTTTCTGTTCGCGTACTATTTTGGATATTTCTCTCTTGTGAGCGAACAGATGACATTTCGCCGGAATTTGGCAGTTGGTTGGTTTCTGTTGGAGATTTTAAACGAACGCACCTTTTATAACAAAAACAATTTTAATGTAAATGCATATGGTGACTTGTTTACATTTTCTTTGAACGCTTGTGTGGGATACAATTAAATTCTCTTTTAAAATAAATGAAACCCAAGGGAAAAAAATAAAAAAAACACAATTTTTTGAGACTTTAATTAAAGATAAAGCTTTAGAACAATATGTCGAAGGTATGAATTTGTTTTTTTTGCAAAATATGTTTTTGTTTTCAATTATTGGATATTTTTACAGCTCTCCCTGGTACCGTATAGCGATTCAGATGAATCTTTCGTTGATTTAAATGGTTTGGAAAGTTTAAAAGAAGTCGAGGAGGAAACGTGTGTTGGGAAAAGGGGCTACAGAAAGCAAAAGAGAATACCTAAAAGGCTGCAAAAAGTTAAGAAAAAAAATACGAGTGTTTTGCCCAACTCGTGCTTAAAGAAAAAATGTCCAAATTCGTGTCATGATAAAATTTCTGAAGATGAAAGAATAAGAATAAATGAACATTTTTGGGGAATCGGCAACAAAATTAGACAGAAAGATTGGCAGTCTTCTTGTGTTAAACAAGTCGATATTAAAAGCCGATATGGAGAAAGCGACAGAAAAAAGTGCAGCTTTAATTATTTTATCAATATCAATAATAGCAGTTTTAAAGTTTGTCAGAAATTTTTATTGAAAACGTTGAACATTTCACAAACGATTTTAATATCCGTAATAAAAAATAGAAGTTCGTATAAAACTTGCCTTGAAAATATAAAAAAGCCAACTGCACACAACAAATCTGAGGAAGCAAGCATATCGCTAGTAAAATCCTTTATAGAACAATTACCAGCGGTTCCTTCACATTATTGCAGGAATAAAAGTACAAAATTATATCTGCCTCAAGAATTTCGAAACATAAAAACTGTATATCAGCATTATGTAGAACATTTGAAAACTATTAATAAAGTAAATAGTCAGTTATCGTTAAGAGTATTCCGTAACATTTTTAGAAACAGTTTCAATTTAGGCTTTCATTTACCTAAAAAAGATAAATGTATCTTATGCGAGAATTACAATAATTTAGACACAGAATCCAAAAAGCAATTGCATTCATCAGAAGAGTATCAA